GCCCAGCATCAATCCGGAGACAGAGAGCGCGAGTGATGAAGTGTCCTAGGGCCAGTAGACAGAATTTGGACTTCTGGCCTGAATTGTGAGAAAATACATTTCTGTTCCTCAAAGCCACATCCTTCTGGCCTTTCTGTGGTAGAAGGAAGACGAGTTAGTTAGGGTTGAGGGGCGAGCTGAGAGATGAAGCTGCGGGGATGGTGTCAGGCTGAAGGGTTTGGGCTTTGCCTCGGGGTAGGAGGGAGCCACCGGAGGGACCTGAGCAGGGGAGGGCGGGGCCAGGTGCAGGATGGACAGGAAGCTGCAAACCCAGCGAGGCGGGGGTCCAGATAGGAGAGGGGCTGGGCCATCTTCCGCAGGCTGTGCCCTGCCTCCCTGGAAGGCCCCGCGTCCCCACATGGCGGTCACCTCTTGCAGATCTCGTCGGCGGCCTCCTGGCTGAAGTGCGGCTGCTGTAGGACGTTGTTAAGGGCGTGGACAGCGCACAGCTCCAAGCGTTGTCGTTCGTGGTACACGCAGGGTGGGCTCGACTGAGCTCCTGGGGCCTGGGACATTCCGTCCTCGGCACCTGCAGGGGTTGGGGAGTGGGGTTCAGGGGCTCCGGGTCTGGAGGCTCAGAGACTTGAAGCACAACCTCCCTGCAGGCCCTTTGGGGCATTGCCATGGAAATGGGGGTTTGGGGTAGCCTTGGGGGGTGGCACACAGGTCCCGCCAACCCTTGCCCCTAAAAACAAGGTCCTTCAGCTCTCCTGGCAATAGAGCGGCCACTCCCTACATACCATAGTATAAGTGCCACAGAGCAACAAAGATCCCCCCAGCCCCCCTTACATCCCTAAGTAGAAGGATCCCTATGCTAGTCACTTAGCAACAGAGGAACCCTTACTCCCCTGTCCCTAAGTAACATGACCACTCCTTGGTTACTTAGCAACAGGGGAGCACCCTCCCCACAACCCTAAGGGTTTCTATGTAGGTAACCTAGCAACAGAGAGCCCACTCCCTTACCTAGTTGCCTAGCAACAGAGGACCTCTGCCTCCCCCCCCCTAGTTAACAGGGTCTCTTCATGTCGCTTAGCAACAGAAGACTTACCCCCGCCTCCCCTATCACTAACAAGGACCTCTCCTCCAGTCATGTGGCCACAGGGCCCATTCTCCAGTCACTAAGCAACAGGCCCCCCTCCCCGGACCCGGGCAACAGAATCCCGTTTTCTGACCCGTACCCCAACCGCGGCGCTGGCCCGTTGCTTGGCAACGCCGCTCACCCCTCCTGTCTCTTTGCTCCCCGGAACCAGGGGTTCCCGCATCCCCCTGGGCGGCAGCTCTGAGTTCCGAGTGTGGGGGTGGCAGCGCGGCGCTGACTGGGCAGGCTGAACGGACTACAGTTCCCGGCAGCCTCTGCGTGCTGGACTACGATTCCCGGCGGCTCCCGCGGAAGCGCTGGATCTGTCCTAAACGTCCATTCGCTTCAAGAAGACGCGAGGCTACAATTCCCGTCGGCCTCGGCGGTGAACCCGGAAATACACCTTGTAGAGGCCGGCCACCTTGCGTACTACCGCGTCCTCCGCTGCTCAGAGGCTTCTGGGCAATGTAGTACGTAAGCTCTCGCGATAACAGTGTACCCGCCTCTCGCGAGACGTCATCCACCGGTTGCAGAGACAACGTGATGTCACAGAGAAGCAAGTGCCGCCAGGGGGAGGAGCTTCGAGTTTTACTGAAAGGGGGAGGGGAGGGAAATCCAGGGAAACTGAGGCCAGGGCAGGCATGGGGCAGTGCTGGGGAATGTAAATGACACGAGGTCGTTCTTTCTGGGGAGGGAGGAGGCTTCTCAGCAGAGATAGATGCCCGGCTTGGTGGGAAGCTGACAGCAGCCTGCAAGAGACAGATAAAATTAAGACTGAGTCAGGAGAAAAGGAAACCTGAATGTGGGGCCGGGGGTGTGGGGGGTGTGGAAGGGGAGCAGGGAGAGATTGAGAGAAAGTCCCAGAGAGAAGGGGACAAGACCCAGAGAGAGAGGGGACAGAGATCCGGGAGGGGACCAGAGTGAGGGGGGACAGAGTGATAAGAGCATTATAAAACTTCCTTGCGAGGTGGTGGGGACTTGGGGGGTGGGAGGGACTGTGGAGGGGGAAAAAAAAACCAAACTTTCTTGCAAGACGTTGACCTACCTTCCAAGAATCAAATACAAAAACTCCATTTTGGAGAAGAAATAAAATGTGACCTTTAGGTCCAGCTGAAAAGTTGGGCCACTGCCAAGCGCCAACAGGTGGTCTGAAGAACCCCCAGAAAGTCTGGAGGACCCCATAAGACCAAAGTGAAGTCAGGGAGCCAGCTGAACTGCCTACATAAACCCTGGTAGAGACACTGACTTTTCAGAGAGCTAGGAAGGAACCAGGGAGACTTCCACTCCTGCCCTCTCCAAAAATAATAATGTAGTGTGTTGCCCCTATTCCTGATATTTGTTTGAATTGATATTATAGTTAACATTAGCATTGTTAGATTGTTTGAGGTGTGTTTGCAGTGAATAAACGGAGCCTTCGATCAAAGCGTGTTAAGTAATTAGTGACCGCGCCACTTGTGTAACACAGAGACCCAGAGAGAAGGGGACAGAGACCCACAATGGATGGGGATGTCCCAGAGGGGAGGGATGGAGAACCAGAGAGAGGGCAGCGACCCAGGCCCGGACAAAGAGAACCACATACAAGCCTTGAAAGGCGTGCAGGGAGACAGAGACTGTCAGGACCTCGGACACAGGCCCACCAACGGACGGACGGAATCCGAATGCAGAGCCGGAGCCCCTGCGGAGCAGCGGCTTGCAGGGCCGGATCAGGGGGAGGGACTGGGCCGCACCTAGGAGGCTGCGCCAGAAGGCGGTGACCGTGGCCGAGCCGGTGACGGCGCCTGGCTGGGCGGGGTTCTCCCGATGGGTACGCAGGGCGAAGCTGCGGCCCGAGGGGCCCGGGGGTCCGCTCAGCTCGACGTCCACCACGTGCACGTCCGGGAGGCTGGGGCAGGCAGGGTGGTGAATCGGGTTGGCCCGGTCCCTGTTCCCCACCTACCCCTAGGCTGGGCTCACCTGAGATCGGCCACCAGCACCCCGATGACTCCGTCGAAGCCCAGGCTGGGGGCAGCCAGGGCGGCGGCCGCCATGGTGTTAGAGTTTCGGGGGGCCCAGGGGCACAGGCCTCGGACCGGACCCTCGTAGAGCACCGTGCGAGGCCCGGGCCTCTTGGCGGCTGCAGCCAGGGCCCCCTCCAGCCGGAAGCCATTGGGGTGCGTGGCCATGGTGACCCGGAGGCTCTGGAAACCAGAGGCAGGGTCGGGAGACGGGGTCTGGATGAAGTCCCCCTCCTCACCTGCACTCCCAGTTCCCAGAGAGCCTTCACCTGAAGCCCCCCTGCTGCATCCAGTCTGGTGATGTCCTCTGAGCCCCACAGGGCCCCTCGGGCGATGAACACGGCATGGCCCCAGCGGTGGGAGGCTTCACAGAGCTTT